AAAAAAGTAATAATTAGACAAATCATAATTTTATTTCAAAAAAAAAAAAAAAAGGGTACAGTATAATATAAGAGAATAAATAAGAAATAAAAAAATGACAAAGAAAAATTTGAGAATTTAATTGAAAACTGGTTCAATCATAATATCACTGCATGTATTTAAAATTCTTTTTTTTTGATAAACGAGACAATATTTGAGAGTATTTATTGCACATTCATCAATCTTTCGTTTCATTTTATATTCGTTGGAACACTTCCAATTAGTTTTAAAGCCTAAATATTAAGCTTACATATATTATTTTTTAAATTTCCAGCAAATTATTGATAATCCGAACAAACTCTTTCTTATGCCACTTTTTTTTTATGCATGAAAGTCTGAAGAATGGAACAGACTTTGTTTTTCAATTTCATTTATGATTGTTTATTATTAGATAAAAATTTAATTAGAAATTATTACTACAATATAATTTCGAGGCAAACAATAATTTATATTTTACAATGCATATATATTTCAAAGACAATTAGAAATAGCTCACTTATACTTAAAGTAAATATTCCAACCGTTTCAAAGTAATCAGCAATTTTCCATTACTTCCTGTTTTTATTTGCTTGATGGATCTATTACGGATGAAATCAATTCTTATTTTTTTTTTTTCCTTTTTTTGCATTGGAGAAATAAATGATAGTAATTTTAAGGGATAGTAATTAATTTAATTAACTGGCCAAAGATTATTCCGTAAGTTACTCTATCTGCTTCACCAAACAATGAAAATTTATGACTCATTTCTTTCTTTTCTTTTTTCTTTCTTATGCTTACTAAAAAGAAAAATAAAACTAAAAAAAAAAAAAAATTTCTAAACCTGTTTTTATCGTTCAAATTTATGAAATAACAGTTCTGTCCAATGTAATAGAAATTGAATTAAATTAAAATAACTTAATGCAACAATGGATTATTCTCAAGCAAAAACTAATATTTATATGCAAAAAGTATGCCAAAATTCAATTTATTCTACAATTTTTTTTTCTTTTTTCTTCTGCTAAGGAAAGCAATAAAATTTATTCGTCAGCTCATGTTTGAAATATTTGATAAAAGATACAAAAGTATTTCACTCATTCCTAATATTGCGAGAAAATATTGGCTAATATACAGAAAAAAAATAAAAAAAAAAGAATGGTAAATATATTTTAAAGAAAAAGAAATTTTAAATTGAACAAAATAACAAATCACTTTAAATTAAAATGACATGCAAGAAGAAAAGATTTTGGAAATAAAATATTCATTTTCATAGAAGAATGAAATTAATGATTGGTGCTATCATTATTAATTATAAACCGTGCGATATGATAAAACGAAGGATAGGAAATTTTTATAATCTATTTAAGAATACAGAAATCACTATAATATATTCGCTTTTATTCACAACCAATCGCTATAATGCATTAATGATGATTTTCTGTGATTTTTTTTTTATTCACTAATCCATTTTAACAAATTATTATTCCATTTTTGCATTCAAAGGGATTACAAATCTTAAAAACATATACGAAAATTTAATTACTATATCAATTAATGCAATAAAGTAATATAATTTTGTAGAGTATTTATCAATGTAATATTTCTAATTATTTTTATTCTGCTCCCATAATAGCTTAAAATTATCTAATCATTTATAACATTTACTTTTTATGAAACAATTCATTATCGTTATTCTTGGAATGATAAGTCTCACTATAATTTAATGCCTTTTACAAGATAAATACTATAGTTAAGGGAGTGATATTAGCTAAAATTACAATATGATAAAAAATATTGTTATAATTATGCTTATTGATAATGATATTAGTGTGATCTCAGTAACAGGCTTAAATTATTCAAATAAATTTCAATGAATATTGTTGTAAGTCTACTGTGCCTCTTGTAATAAGCTATACAAACGTTAATTAAATTTTTTGAATGAATCTTTCTGAAGGTAATAATAAATGAATGATTTGAATTGTTAAATTTAATATGCAAAGAAAAAAATTGGGTTAGTATCATACAGCAAATAATAATAATATCAAATTATACGTCATAAATGATTATGATAGTTGCATGAGATATAAATGGTTGTTACATAAATATTCCTAAGGAGATTCAAGTACTAAACATTTCAAAAGTTACAAAAATTAATTTTAAAAACATATGCTCACCAATATTGATAAATCTGAATCAAATCATATGCTCAAGTTTTTTTGTACGCTAAAAAAAATGAGAAGGTTTAGCAAAATATATAACTGGTATCTTTGGCAAATGAATAAAAAAGAACTAATTTAATTAAGATCAATTTTTTTTTTTTCTAAAGTGATTACTTTAATACATGAAATTAAGTATTTGATAAAAAAGAAAAGGCACCAATGACTTCAAAGAATTTGCTAAAGTAATAAAGTTGTAATACTAAATTAATTATTTTAAAAATACCATTTAGTGTTAACTAGTCACATATTATATATTTATCTACAGTTTTTTATTATTAAACATAATATCCGTATATATTTAAATGCTATTTAAAAATATTAGATTAAATCTTCAAAATTACATTCGCTTGTTTCTTAATGAATTTTTTGTTTTCCAAATGCATTAGTCATTCCTTTCAATCTAATGTTTTTTTGCTTTCTAGTGATTTTATCGGTACATAAAGGTATGAATAAATCAAGCTGAAATATTCAATGCAAATGTTTTGTTGACTAAATAATTTTCAAAAATTTAATTTTTATACTTAAAAAAAGCAAATTAATTTGTGTTTTTTATTTGTCGTATATCCGGAAAAAATTATCTAGTACTTAAATAATTTAAATCACTCATTGAGACAAAAAATGAAGCAATAAAGAATATTTACTGACTTAAGACTCTCAGACATTTATCTTCCAATAAATTTTGATCATATCCTTTCAATAATCATACCCTGTTGTTTTTATCAATAACTCAAAAATGGAAATGGCTAGCGAAGTTTAAAAAAGAATTAAAATGTTTACAACAGAAATTAATTTGTTAAGCATTTCATTGTTAAGCAAACTTTTTTTTTTTTAAGGACAAATAGAAGAATTGATAAAAGAACCGTAAATGTAACATAATTTACATATTTTCAATAATATTTTCAATAAATTGAGGGTTAGCAGTATAGGGTAATAATTTCACGACAATAATTAGTCATTGAAATAAACTTTTAAAATAGTTTGATACTGAAGAATGAAATATTTGAAAGTGAAAGACGTGAAGTATATGAAAGCATAATAAGTTGTAATAATGTTCATTCAGCAAGAATATTTGTCAAGAGTATTTCCTTGTCAGTTGAAAATTTCATTTGGTCACTCGTTAAAGTGTATCATTTTAAATTATCACAACAACTTTTTCGTTTACATCTTTCTAGAGGAACATTTTGCAATCCTTAGAATATTAGAAATTTAATAATAATAACCATAGTAATAATAATAGTAATAATCATAGCAATAATCATAATAATGATAACGATAATAATAATAATAATAATTATTATTATTATTATTATTATAAATAACGAATGATAATAATAAAGGCAATCAGCAATGTTTTAGAATGATAAAGGATTAATGTCATCTGCTAATTTCATTTGATGAGAGATTTTTCCTCTTACAAATAAATACTGAAGATGTTGTGAGTAATTTTTATTTGGACTAAAATTAATCGTTACTAATATCGATATTTCATAAATTAGCATTTATAACAAAAAAATTTTACGACTAAAACTTTTTGGTTTGTTAATTAAATAGAAATTAACCCAAATTTTTTAAATTTTCATAACTGAATGATGAAATAATATTCCATTATATAAAAAAGGCAAATAAATGCTAAAAGTCAAGTAAATAGCTGATTAATTAAATTATTGATGAATGAAAGGAGAATGATAGAGGACAAAGGGAAGAAAGGAGTGACAAAATTGGTATTGAAGAAATGATTGTTACACGAATAATTTAAAAAAAAAAAATAAATTTATAATATAAAATCAAACCAATCAATAATATCGTTAATGCGTGTACAATGAAGCATAGTTCATTTTTATGAGAAATTTATGGTTCAGTAGGTGTAATTAATATAATACTCTTTAACAGATGATATAAATTAAAGAGAATAATTTGATCGCTACTAATTTACATTCGTTCAGATTTAAAGCCAAACATTTATACTGTAATTTTCTCACTAAAATCTTTGTTTCTTTTTTAGAACAATTTAAGAACTAAAATTTATTGAAGAACAAATATCTGGGAATCATAAATCAGTAAATTATTCTTTATTTCTTCTTTTTCTGTCTCAATGATTGATTTAATTATTCAAGTAGCAGATAAATTTTTTTCGAATATTCGACAAATTAAAAAGAATAAATTAATTTATTTTCTTTAAGCATGAAAATTAAACTTTTGAAAATTATTTAGTCAACAAGACATTTGCATTGAATATTTCAGCCTGATTTATTCATACATTTACATATCAATAAAAAGCGAACGAACATTAGATTAACTTTTGGAAAAATTTAGTTTATTTTTAGCCCTGAATTTCGGATGTTGTAAAACTTAGACAGCAATCTGAAGATTGTACATTGCAAAGTAACTTTTTTCTATTCTTGCAAATATAATCATATAATCAAAATTTAATACAGTCACATGCTACCACTAATGGATTTGCAAAAACACTTTGTATTCATTAATAATCCGGAATTCCGGATGTTAGGAGACTTGTATAGGGATCTGAATGTTGCAGAGCGTCACAGTTTCTTGTGCTGGTTGGATAGCGCGAAAGTTAAGCAATGGAAGTGTGCTGGGAGCGAAGTGGTTGTTACCCTTTGACCTTTTCTCGTTGATTTTTTTTGTTGATTGGTAGTAAATTGTTATTTGTTTGCTTCATTATATATGATATAGCTGAAATTTTCAGGTGACCAGAAGTTTTCTGCAGTAATATTCACATTGTGAACAGTAGGCAACGTATGAATAATGAGTAATGGTTTCGTTACAAATAATACCCAGAAAGGGATAATTACCCAAACATTAGGCAATTTAATTACTGTCTGGCCACTTAATGTTTATCAGAAAAAGGAACTAGTTTTCCAAGATGTAGCACCAATATCATCACAATATTTGAAACCTGGTGATTGGATTCAAATGGAGGTAGAAGATGGTGACGTAGTTGTTTATCGTGAAAAAATCGAACCTGTACTACAAACAGTGGTTACAGTACGTGGAAATGTACAGGTAGTATTTTTTACCTGTAATTAATTGGATATAGTTATTGACAGAATAATGTTTGCTATTAATTGAATTTACTATTATGGTATGATCAGATGAACGTTCATCATACTTTGTATGAGTAAAAAAAAGTAGTATTTGGTATATGTAATACATGCTTTTAGTAATTTAGTTGAAGACGCGTATATATTTTCCAAATGGAATAAACAAAAACCATGAGCACGTGATCGGTTATTCGGACGATGTAGGAGAAGTGGGTATTTTTTTCCAATGCTCTGAATTGAAAGCTGATTTTTCATATGATGTTTGGGTATCGAGGTTAGTTGATTGGTACGATTTTTTCCATGTTTTATAAAATAAGTGAGATATGAAAAATCTGCAGTGAGAGGAAAATTGACCTGCGATAATAGAATTAAAAAGTAAAAATTTTTATTCATGAGAAAATGAGAATTGAGAACTAGTTTTAAAATCCTTTTTTTTGAAAGTGCAAAAAAAAAATGATTTAATCCTGATAAGCCGTTATTTTTTTTTAGACCTCCAAGAAAACTGGCATCATTAGAAAGGCGATATAATGTGCATTGGTGTCTTGCAAGACAAACAATGATTCCATTAATGAAGGATCATAATGCAGCAAAGTTTTTATGGAAGAATGAATCGCCTGACAGCAATTCCGAGTATTTTAACAATACGTTAACTGAAAGTGATATTAATTCACATGAAATTGATTTTCCTTATGTGAGTTATTTTATTTTCTCAGTTGTTATTTCATGATCAATGAACAAGATACAGTTTAAATCATTGGATTTCTAATAAATATCTTATTCTTATGCTTGTCGTATGTTTCTATTTTTGATGGGGTAAACAGTATTCAGAAATTCTTTCTGATTAATAATGATTTTTTATCAGGCACTAAGTTTTAATGATAATGCTCTAAGAAGATTATACAGTGATCCAAAAGTACGCCAAGCAGTTTACCAGTGCAGTAGCGATTTCGCGCGCTCAATTGAAACTTATCTGACCAGAACGTGTGATTGATTTCTATTGAGATGCTTTCCACTTTTTTCTTGTAAATTTGAAACTCATCATTTACAAAAGCTTTATTTGGAGTGCATTTTATACTTCTAGTATTTTGACATCATCCATAACCATTTATATCTGTTTCCACATGGGTTATTGTTGATAATTATGATGTATCTTTTTTCCACGTGCTGAAACAAATTTATGTCCAGATATCACTATACCGTAATTTGCAATAATTGTTTGCTTTCAATACTGTTTTTTACTGCTGTAGTTACGAAACATTTTATAAACAAAATATATCAAATTAAAAACTGTTTTTTTGAAATTTACAGTTCTTATACTAGGATTAGAATTGCAAAACTTGAACAAGAACACAACTTATCAATAGGAAAGTATATGTGTATGGTGTGATGATTGAAGCAGCTTGTTTAATGACAAAATTCGAGGGTCGACAAAAGATGTTATATATTTTGAATATTATTTTATATATTACCTGATGTGAAAGAAACTCTAGTTATTATTAATAATTAAATAAAAAAAACCTGATTACCGCAGTAAATTAATAATTTAACGGATGTGATAACGTCATATTTTCTTACTACACTTTGTTGTCCATCTTCATATTCGAAATAGTTTGCATGTATAATGTACTGAATTTCACATCGCATTTTGTTTTTAGCTGTGAACCACTCAAACTCGATGTTCTATGTTTCATTAACTCATCGAATGGAATCGTAATTTTTAGTTTAAAATTTTGATTAAGTTACCTTAATTTTAGCCCCTTAACTAATTTTACTTTCGATTTTTTTGCCATATGATTTCTTATGACAAATGATAATGTATACAAATGTTACCACTTCATAACCATTTAAACATACAAGAAATAAAGGAATACACACCAGTAATGTCTTTCGTTTTTATTTCTATCGATTTGTAATTTTAAACAATTTAATTTCCATTATATATTCTAGTCACAGTAATTGTCGAAATAAAATTAAGCAGACATTTTCAAACTGTGAACTTTGAGTAATTCTCGTATTTAATGTGATAAAAGATGTCAAGGAAAGACAAAAGTGTATCAGTTGCATACCAAATTAAAATTCCGGGAAATAGAAAATCTATTTTATTAATCGTTTATTATTTATTATTCATTTGCATTATTACTATCCATTATTGTTTATTGTTTAATTTATTTCGTTTATTTATTTGTTATTTGTTTGCTATTTACTGTTTATTATTTATTAGTTATTTATTTGTTATTATTAATCACTCTGTTGTAAGAAGCAAACTTATCAAGCTGAATTAGCATGTCATTGTGCATGATTTATCGCCAACGTTAAATAGACACCTGTATTATGTACCACCACATGTTCTCTAATCTTTTCTTTTGACATCATGTTGTAAATATATCAAGCAAAATTTTTAATCGTTTCCTAACATGTTCTTGTCGTACTACAACATCATATTTAATAATAGCGCAGATCGTGTCACTTGTGATAACAACGAATTATAAGAGAGACAAATATTTCTCGATTTAGGAGACAGATCTAATTATGATTTTTTGATCTTTAGGTAATACTAAGTACAGATCGGCCAAGGTATCGTTCATATTCAGATCGTTGCCTGTCTCCGATAGGTATAATCGAAAATCAGTTGGTGGTCCAGGCTGTTGGTTCATTGTAAGCAACATAACGATTGCTTCATAACAAGTTGTTCGTGGAGAGATAAACAACGATTTGTAGGTACTCTGTTCAATAATGTTATTTACTAATATACGATTAACTAGTCAGGGGTAATTAATTTAGCTCTATTGTGTCACAGTAATGATCATCTACTGTCGACTTCATAACATTAGCATAATGGCTAACGATTTATCAGGAAACCTATGGCAAGCTTATCAAGTTCGTGATATAGATAATTGTATTTAACAAATGAGATTAGAATTTTGCAAAATAGAATGGAAATTGAAACAAAGGCCATCCTTGTTCTACTTCTCCCTATAGAAAGGTTTTTTTTTTCTCTATTATGGAAGCAATTTAAGAACAAAAAAATTAGGAAGAAGAGATGGTACTGTTACCTCTGAAGAGAGTAAATAATCATATATCCGTACTAAGACACCATTTGTCGACATTGTTATCAGGAATCGTGACATGTGCACAGGATGGCAACGTTGCAGTTCGAGTGGTCGCGCTTCCTGAGGTAGCAGTAGCGGTGTTTTCACCTGAATCATATGATTATATTACTCTAAACTGAACTCAAGTATGAGGTCAAATTGCATATTTTCATAAGAATAATAGCTCCTAAATCTTATTTATCTCTTATTCTAGAAGAAGTTGTAATCGAAAGATGTACCAACATGTTAGAATCTCCTCTCGATGAAAAATGCGCAGATGGTCAGCGGATTGGGAATTTGAATGAATGCCGACAGATAAAAAACATTTAAATAGAACTTATTTGCAACAAATTAATCGTTGAGATATTTCCAACAAAATATTCTCTGATTTTCCCAAATCAAAGTTGAAGAGATACATAAATATCAGTTCTACCAGAACAAATTCGATAGATAAAATAAAAAATACTCTTTTCCACATGCTCTCTTTGATGCTCCAATATTTTAACATATTCACACAAATGAAAAGTATGCATACCTGTTCTCCATTATAGCGAGTCCAAACTTCCATTATAATTTCGAACAAATTCGGATCTTTGCATATTCGGAATTTCGTCAGAATAGTATCAACAATATTTTTCACTGTATGATTGGTTGAAATTTTTAATGTTTTATAATCAGTGCCCTCTTTGATATCGCCAGTATAAATGCGCAGTGTACCCTACAATTATAGCATCACGAAATTTAGATTTTTAAATTGTGTGGTGAAGCTTTTGCATAAAACTTGTCACCAAAATTTTGCCAGAAATTAGCAAGTTTCTAAAATGATTACCTTCATGGCAATCAATAATTCAACAGTTATCAATACCTCAGACCGCCTTAAATAAATTCAAATAAACAGCCATATTTTCAAAGAGGAAAATAAACCGGTTTAACGTATATTGCACATGATATCAGAATAAAGAAATGTCAATTCTTTCGACATCATTAATATTACCAGTTATTATGACGAGTACTTTGAAAATACTTCATCATGCAAAATTAGATTAGTATTCTCTATTCAGTTTTTCTATGAGGAATTTATTGGATATACGGATGCTTTGCTTTGAATTAATTCGAGCAGAAAAAATATAAAAGGATTAACTATCTATTATAAAAGCTTTAGAAGTAGCCAATCAATACAAACATTTCATTATTGAATGGTTTAAAGAAAATGCGAAAAAGATGAACTCCAGATTTTGAGAATGATCTAACTGAAAAAGTCCACAAAAAAGAAAAGAAAAAGGGAAATAAACAAACCCATTCGCTAGCATCACTGCTATCTACGGAACTTAGAGAACTCAAAGAGTTGGACCGATCGCAAATATGAATTGTCTCTTCTAATGATGATGATGATGACGATGGCTTATCAAAGGAATGCGATGAAGTACTGAGACTACTGCTTCGACTTGTTTTACCTTGATATTTGGTGTACACTTTTCTCGATCGTACTTGATACTTTAGCATCTTAAATGAAATAATATATATGTATATATTTATGAATAGAGAGTGAAACAAATCCGTTTGGGAAAAACAACATAATTCAAAATAAATCAAATAATTCTCAAAACGATCTTTTCTAAACTAAATAGAAGTCAAAAGAGCGTCTCGTTTAATCAACTATTCTATAACCAGTTTACTAAGCCATTTATATACATTTTCAGCTTTGTATTCTGTATGCTACACTTTTTCCAACAGATAAACTCGTCAGATCAATAAGTAAGCAATTAATCGAATCCATCAACTTAGTAATTTCAAGAAGATTCTTTTCAGGAAGAATTTCACTAATCGGTGAAAGGAAAGATGTTTTAGAGAAAGATAAAGGAAATAAGAGAATGATTAGATTATACCAAAAAGATAAGGAGTTAGCCTGAGGGAAAATAATATTATCGTGAAAATGCGTTAAGAAAAAGAGTGGATGGAAATGAATGCTGAAGCATTAAATACACTCATAACTAGTCGTTTATAGTACCGTAGTGAATTTGCACTGAAGTAGCCAACAATAACCGGAAAATAACTGCTCCTTGTACATTAGTGAATCAAAATGGAGGTCTAAAATTATGGGAGAGGTTAGTAAAACCAAAAAAATAGAAAATCTTAAAGACATTCATAACACCAGATAAGAGAAAGAAGTGTAAACTTCCCAGAACAAGTGAAAAATGAAAGCAATCGTAATTAGAGAAAGATATTTAACTTTAGCTAAAAATTTGATTGACATAGGCTATGTCAATTCTAGTGAAACATATAAATGTTGTAGTGGATGGATTAAAAAAAAAATAGCATAATTTCAAATTAATATGCTAAAGGGAATAAATCGACGAGATAAAGTGTAAGAATGATATGTGGAGATTTGAAATTGGTAATAAATTACGGAAGAAATATTTCAAATTTGATATAAACCAGAATGAACAACAACTTTGGATACTTCAATACTTTTAACGCATTAAGATTTAAATGAAATTTTTAAAGTTACATTTTTCATACGGTCAAAAAGTTCTAATTTCATATGACAATTAATAGAATTTTGCATAACGTGAAACAATTAATTGAAATTTTAATCTATTTACAATATTAATCTTCAGCTTCAACTAAAACATACAACACAATTTAATTAACATTATACATTTGACAAGCAGAACTTAATAGCAGACAAACTGATTAACCTTTAGCCAATCCATGCCCTCATTTTAAAGTATTTGCAGCACTAAAAGTGATCGTTGTTGGAAGGTTTAGTGCGACGAAGCATATGGTTTCACAAATAAATGAACAAAGAAACAACGAATAGCATTAAAGCATACAGAGTTTTAATGACTTTCAGTCTATCAAAAACAGTTACTTTGTGTAAGCTGAAAGGATGAAACAAGAAATAAAAATAAATGTTTCATTTACTGTACACAGAAACAAACAGTTCAATTTGCTAAAATGTAATTTCATTAATTTTCCCGGTGATCTTCAATTATCGACTATAAAAGAAGAATAAAACGTAACGATTTTCGGATAGTTTCTTATCATTTGTGCTCTTTTCTTTTCTAGCTAGTATACTGGAAATTTAAATAAGATTAAAATAAATAAAAGATTGAAATAAATTAAAATAAGCAAAAATATTTCTTAATGATTTGAAGTTTCTAACAATGATAGAAAAAACGGAAAAAAGTGCAAAAGTCAAATGACATAGAAGATATTGAGTCACTCTCATATTTGATATACAACTTTAGTAATAAAAATTAATAACGATTATTATCACTAATGTATCTTTAGGAATTATTTCATTCATTAAATAATTTTTAAAGTCTGCTAAATCTAAAGGATAATATGTAAAGTACGTAAAAATAAAGAAGCAATATTTGAGAGTACATTTAATATATGTATCGGATATTCGATCTGATGCTGCTTTCTTACGAAACAGAAAGGAGTGAAAAACACAAGCAATCAGCGTCCCACATCAACGACAAATCTTATAATCACTCAGCAAATTCATCTCTAATTTCCCGATCATTCAAAGTTTCAATTCTAAGTCATAAATAAAAATTATTCTGAGCATTGACCTTTCCAGACAATTCCTTTTTTGTTATGCTACAATAATTTTCATAAATAATCATCATCGTCATTTAAAACTTTTTCGTAGATTTTATAGACTCATTACATTTCAACATGAATATAACAGATCCCTAGAATCTTTCGGAAGGAAGAAAATATATTTCGACAAATTATTATTCAATTAGATGGCATACATATGATGAGGACAGTAATAGTAATTTATCGGATCAACATATGGCTCTAAGACCATAAGACAACTCGCCATTTCTCATTACGATAAATCACATTTCTATCCATTCAACTTCGAATATGGCCCATAAATCATTAGCGCAACAATAGTTCCAGTCATATCGGAAACGTTTACTTATAAGATGAGAACTTAATACGATATCTTGGACGTTGGTTCTTTATATCGGCCCACATTTATATTTTCACAAGCATACAATTTTTGAATACTTCAAGTTTTTAAGGGAAAGAAAGTATCATAATCATGATGAATCATGATGTATTTAAGAATTATTTTATCGCTGAAATTATTACAGTCAACAATCAAATGATCCTTCCAAGTGAATTCTCTCAAAATGTAATGAGTTAATATCGCGAAAACCTCACATAATAAAATGACCTATTAATTAAAACTAATTTTTTAGAAGAATAAAGAGAATTTAATAGTTGCAAGACAGTTTCAGATTCATTTCGATACATACGTTAAATCACTGACCAATGGCGGTAATCTAATTAGCCAATTAAATTAAAATAGATTAAAGAGATGCAGTAAACATGACAGCAATAACTTAACACGATTATCTTATAAACAGAAATAATGACAATTAGTTATTACAATTTTCGAAGAGAATAATGTTCAGCAAAAGATGACGAATGATGATTTCGTACTGAAATAACAAATTAGAAAGAAGAATTTTATGCAATTTTCGTTAAATTGTCAAATTTTATTGCTGCAAATAATATCGCCTGTGTGGATGTAAGCATAATGATATGCAGAAATGGGGAAAGGAATGAAATGAGAGGAGCAAGTGGATGAGTGGCTACTTTGTCACACGCCAGTTTGAAGAACCGAAAATGACAACAAATGGGAGACAGAGTGACAAATGTTTGGGGGAGGAATTGATACAACAGCTTTGTTTTGTTTGCGAGAAAGAAATCGGATGAAAAGAGAAACAAATTTTGATCAAAAAAGAAAGTAATAAGTGTATTTATTATCAGAGAGAGCAGTGAAAAAAACATCAAAATGGTCCTACATATTGTTACAAAAAAAAAAAGCGGAAATTGCTTCGTAAGGGAAACAGAGTGAATAATATACCTAGAATGACATTAATGAATATTTAAGGGAATTGATAAAGATTCACCGCAGTTGCATTCTACAGCAAAAGTTGTAATAAGTCTTGCCGATAATATCAACATCGAAAATTGATCCATAAATTGTAAGTACATCGAAGAAGGACATTTCAGTTAGACTGGTGGTATCAAAGATAATAACGATTCAGACGAATGGGATCTCTTCGGTCAAACTGCGGTATTTTTTAGGGATACAGTGAATTAGTAGATAGATGGATAAATTGAAAAGTGTGCAGATCTGCAAAAACCTGTTTTATTTTATCATTAAAGGATAATCCGACTTCTTTCTCTCCGTCTCTCTTTCTCTTTCTCTTTTTCTACCCATAAATCTCCATTTTCCTCTCCTCTAATTTAGATCCACATTACAACTTAACTTTAACACAGACGAACTAATTTAGTCAGTCGAAAAAACGGAGCTTTTTTATTTCTGAAGTGTTAAACAAAGCTTAATATCACTCTCAGACTTGCCATTTGAAAGCTAAAAAAGGAGTTGCAACTAACAAAAGAATCGCAAAGACAGGTTTGAATAAGCCTTGCAATTGAGAAAGTGGCATTATGATTATTATAGTATTATTCTAAGAGGAAATGAAAAATAAGCTAAGTGATAAAAGAAAAAAGTTAAAATGCAACTGTTCGAGTAGGAAAAAGATAAGCAAAGAGCAATGTTTGGTTGGAAAAATTGATGGAAATATGCTGACCAACGTAAAAAGAAATTTGTACATTTTCCAGCTAAACGAAAAAGCTACTAATACTGAAAAATTCATAAAACACAGTGATATTTCATCATATTAGCGATTAATTAAAATCGATCTGCCAATCAGGCAAGTACCAACAAAAACTGAAAAACACTTCAAGGAGATATTCTTGCGAATATCTATTTATTGATATCGATTCTGATTTCTCATCTCGATTACTTTTTCTGTTTATTGTGAGTCTAGAAAATAATTTGTGGTGTAGATAAATTGAGGATGAGACTGTCATCAAAAATGCTTGATGAAAAGCATTCGTCCACTTCAATAGCCATATGTTGAAGTGAAAGAGGATCTCGAAAGTGTAGCTGTAATTTGAGAGGGGAGAGTGATTAGACAGCGATATGAAAGCGAATTAAATAATTTTTCTTGGCTGAGAAGGAAGCGTCCTAAATGATTAAGAAGGAAGATAGGATAAAAATAATTGAGATCAGTAAAAAAGTAAATAAACAGAAAATTTATATGTGGCGTCATAATTAATTACTTCGTAATATGAATGGAGAAATAAATTTAGTTATACAAATTTGTTTCTAAAAATATTACCATAAAACTAATTAGAGGAAGTTAAATTTGCAATGGAAAAGTCAGAAGATAATCGAAGAAATTCTTAGTATTATTCTTTTTTACTGTTGGAAGTAAGTGAGTAATTTAATTAATTAGTGAGTATGCATAAGTTTCATATAAAAGAGACGCGAGGAAGAAGAGCATTCACTCCAGAAGTGGCATCAAACATTCATAAATGTCAGCACTTATTATTATAGATTAATAAAAATGTCTGTGACAACAGCACCAATCGTTTATTACCTTAAATGATTATCATTAATCTCGGAAAATTTGCCTTTGTTGCAATTTCGACAATTGTTTCTACACAACGCACTAATGATTTGTGCAAGAAGGACGAGGTATTTCGCTGACTACATAATAGATAGTAGTTGTATGCGAGAAATAAACAATGTCATGTAGGGATCCGAGATAAATTATTGCAGAAAGCAGTTTGTAGGATCAGTTAGCTACTACTATTACTACTTCTTTCTCCCTAGATTTTAATGATAGATGAAAAGAAAAAAGGAACAAATGGAAGTATCTATTACTTTCGCCATCCTTAATTCCTCTCTTTTTTCTTTTTCTTGGTCAAAATTCAAATATACCACAGCGTTATTTATTAGTTTATTTGCGGTACTATCAATTACATCTGAAACAAAGGAAGAAGAAAAAATTTAGTTTAAAATAATCAAATAGGTTTTTTCTTAGTGAAAATTTTCATTTGCACAGAAAATAAAATTCAGTATGCTGAAACTTACGACTAACATTTTTTATTAGTTATTTTGCGAAAAGAACGAAAAGAAGAAACAGCTTAGTTTTAAGACAAACAACTGAGTTTCAACTAATGGCAAAACTTCGACTGAATAACTAAAGTGATTTCAAAAGTTAAAAGATTTTTGGATTTTTTGATTCACGTTTTTAAACACTATTTACAGAGGTAATATTGATTGCCTCAAATGAAAATAATGAAGTATTATAATTGAAGAAAAAAGAAGTCAATGAAATGAATAAAGGACAAAATATTTCAAATTTCTCATCCTTTTGTCCATCTAATTGAAATGCCCTCGTAAGCATACTCCGCTGTTCTAAAAAGTAGTCGGTGGAGAAATTTCATTTATTTCTTCTTAAACCTCAAAAAAAAAAAAAAAAAAAAGGCAAGAAATGTAAAAGTTCTACCAATACAATTGTTGAAGAGGTATTGCAAATCTCGTCCATTATTGAAAACAAAAGGTATATGCTGTTCACTGATCTCCTATTATAGCTAAAAAAATCGTTATTCTATCTGTCGCCCTTATCACATGACTCTCGTTGATCGTAACAATCCCATCACTCAACTTTCTATCATTTTCCTAAAATTTTTTATCCAAATAAACATACTAAGTTGACACAAACATTCATAATTTCCCATCACTTCGCTTTTTACGTCCAACCTCGATCCTCCTTAGGGGACTGTCCACTCTTTATAGTTAATGCTAACATGATCCCACTGATAATTTTTTTTTTAGATATGAAGTCTTGAAACTGTATTCGAAACATATGAAAAGCTTGTTACTGCAAAAATATAATAAATTGATCATAATTAATATAACAAAGTGAAAATAATTAATTATTACATTAAACTTCAAATACTTTTGGCAGAAGAATGTGACAAGAATTTTAATGATAAAGAGAAAAAAGTGTGCTGTAACTGTTAGAGAAGGAAATACTCTTTCAATTTATCAGACCTTGGATGAGTAAAACAAGAATGCGACAAAGCGAATTAAAATTGAAAAGTTTTAGAAAAAATAAGGCCCAGAAGATGACGTAAACGTATTTCTATTCGTAATACCGAAACCATCCATCTAGATGCTTAAAATGAATTAGATTAGTCAAAGAAGTATAAATTTTGTAATCCAATTGATGAATCGTGTCTCTGGAAATATTTAAAATAAGATTAGCACATTAGAATAAATAAGTGATTTGATAAATGCGAAATAATTAAAGACATGGGCCAAATGTAGAAAACAAGCCTGTTTAAAAGTCTTTCATTTGGAAAGAATTTTCTCGGAGACGTGAGGTCTAATATAATTATGGAAATAGTTGTAAATATAAGCAAATAATCAGAAAGCTAAAAATAATTTTTATAGCTTCCGAATCAAGTTATTATTGTTATTTTTTTTTTTTTTTTTTTACTTAACTTTTCGTTCTCTGTTCAGTTAGTTCACTATAACAGTAATAGATATCACCAATTAACATATATGTTAGTCTGTAGCTAATTAACATACTTTGATTCGACAAAGCATTATGATTCTTCAAATTTCAATCTAATTCCACATTAAATAAACATTATTAGATCTGATAAACGCATTTTTCTTTGGCATATGTGTATCTTTCAATGAATTTAATGAAAAAAAAAAAAAAAAAAAAAAAAAACACTGATTTAACCTTATATATGACTAGTGTAAACAGAAAAGAAATAAAAGTTTAGTTCTTACTGAGATGATTAACTCTTTGAAAATTATTTTCACTTCTTCCTACCGATGATTGTACTAAATTGAAATGGAATAATTGGTTGATCAGAAAATGATTGCATAGTTTAGTTTCAAAAAGTTTCTTGATTAGCATTGCACTAAAAGCCAGGATTTGAGTTTAGTTAAGAAGAAATTCAGTACTTTCAGTGAAATCCAAAGAGAGAAGAAAAATTTATTTCTTTTTTATATATTTGATAATGTTGAGCATTATACTTAAACATTTGATGCTAAGCTTTTATTTAACAATGAAAAAGTAAAATAACTCAAAAAAAATGTACAATGATGCTTCACTTCAAGTTACCAGTTCTTGAAAATCATGAAAATTACGTCCTTGCTTCACCAATTTTTGATACTTCTAACAAATACATCACCAATTATTGTTCAATCATTGAAAAAAAAATTATAAAGGGAAATTTCGTGAGTCACTGTCTAATATACAAACATCCAAGTTTTTTTCTACTTAAAATATCTTTATTCCAGCCATTAAAACAAGTTAGGTTTAGAGAATGCGGATGCCTTCACTAGAAATGACTATAAGTGATCATTCATTATATTTCATAAACTATTAAAATACTTGTTTTTATGTTTTTCTTAATTTACAAAATGTTCCTCATTATTCATAGTTACATCTGTCCATAAAGTAGAAGAGATTTTTTAATTAAGATAAGTGTAGCTTATATAATATTAAAGTTAGATCGTCTCATAAGGATGAAAAATAACAAACTTTAACAATAGTTTGTGGAAATGGCGGCGGAAATGGCAAAATCCATGCGGGAAGTACGGCAGTAGCATCTTCGGCACCACAATCACCGATCATAGCATAACTTGTAGAAGCAATTTGTGAATATAACAAAGTAATGCACTGTATTATGAAATTAAAGACGGAAAAAGCAACAAGCAGAACGATGGACAATCTGCGTTTAACTTCACTGAAACAACCTGAAAACATGGACACTGAAAGAGGATGAAAAGTAATAAACTTTCCACAATCCTACAAAGATGGATGAAAATAGGATCAAATTTTATATAATAAATTCTTTAAAGTTGACGAATTTACTGCCAGGAACGGTGATAATTCAACGCTTCAATAATAAGTGAAATGTTTTAGAAATCATATTAAAGCTGTTGATTTTTTGGACATGAACTAACGACTAATGACGTTAAATTGAATTAGTAATAATTAGCCTGCAACAATTTACCGTTTACCCATCTATGAAATATGATAAGAGATGATACAATTCAACTGCACTTTCTGATGACTATCAGTAGTGTAAACATTATGTAATCACAGCAAATGAGAACTTAAAATATCATAAGTTGTAATATGAGCAGTTGATAAAATCTTACCTGTAAAATAAAACCATTCTTTGGCTGTGTGTTTACCGATTTCTTCGTTTTTTGTATAATTTTGTAGCAGAATTAGTGGAGAACACTTCAACTGACTCCTTACACAACATGAATGTGGCAAATAGCAGCCATTCCTCGTGCAATGAGACCACTGATTCCCATCGGTTATCAGTTGGCTGAAATTTGCAGTTGATTAATTTTAAAATTCGTAATTCTAGAAAGAAATGAAAATTAGATTTGGGTATAACTTGATGGAAATATATGGCAATGGCTGTAGAAAAGTATGTTTATAGGCATGTATTTCTGTTAAATGTTCAAATATAGACTGATTGAATATTTGACTACTGTTAGAATTCAATAAGTTGTCGAAATAAGTATTTGAAAAAATAGTTTTGTAATGTTAGATGTAAAAAAAAAGTTGGGATGAAGATTTTCCTGAAAGAAATTTGAATTAAATCATTGAAGACAATCAGCGGAAATTTGAAATGAATACTAAATAATAAGTATGTAAATGTAGAAAATAATTTAGAAATGAACAGTACAAATTGCTTCATATTAACGTCTCTCCATAAAGCGTTAAAAGAACCAAATCTAACTTACGATTCTAATAAATTATTGTTGGCTGTTAGAGGTAACCAGTCTTCATAACCAAAAACACCACAACATTCGAAAAACCCTTGCAACCAATTCATTTCATGACGATCTGTTGGTTTTGTACTAAAGCGGATCATACGCTAAAAATAGAATAACTTTGTTGATGAATGATATTACTCTTAAATTACTCAAAAAAGAAAAAAAAAAAATCAAAGTCAATATTTAATCCCAGGCTTACTTTCAAGAAGGATTGAAAATAATAATTCTTTACAATATTGCTGAAAAACTTGCTTCACCTTAGTTATCCCAATTTTTAAGAAAGTATCGAAGTTTCGATAATAAATGATGGTGACAACAGTGATGAATAAGGAGAAAATGAGTGAGATCATTAGAACCGATATTAACAGCTGAAATATAAAAGTTCCAATTAACATTTCAGCATTTTCTGTCAATTTCCATGATCTTTTACAAGATTTACAAGTTGCACTGATTCTGTCTGATTCTGTTTCATCAGATAACTTCAGTGAAATTTCATAAGGAGCCTCATAAGAAGAGATTTTGTCATTGAATTCAAAAGGATAATGAATCTTTGATGAAAAGGAAAAAAAATATTCAGCAGAATAAAACAGATTAACCTTAAGATGCTGCGAAGTCCATCTCGAATAAGCTTCTCGTTGTTCGGCAAAAGCAATTATCGAGTAAACATGGACTGCCAACATAAACAATTGCAGTACGGCAGTCACGAAAGGTATTAGGCCTACCAAATAACTAGCCAATTTATGGTGGATAACGAATTGTGTTACACTTTGTCTATAACTTCAAAGTTTTTTGATAATATGAAAACAAACGCAATCTTTCATTTCGGATATGTCTTCAAATCACGCCGATCACGTAAAATGTTAAAAATTACACGCCAATTCCTTGTAGTCAAGTCAAACGCACATTTGATGACGTGTCAGCAAAAAGTTTTATCAAGAAAGCTGTGCCTTCTTTCTGGAATCGAAAGGAAACATGAAAAACGTACAGTTATTATTACCAAACAAGAAATAACGTAAGGAAACACGTACGCCAGTATTGGCAGTACCAAGAAATGGTAGATTTCACTGACAAAAATGAGGAAAGCAGAGATAGCGTGCAAGAAGCATGCTACCAAGGCATATTTCCTGCGTCTTGCGTGATCCATACGCATCAACGGATATATCATTCTTGTCTAAATCATTTAGATATGCCATGAATCATGAGGTTATGGGTCATAAGGCTATCATAAGTTATGTGAGGTTTTCTTTACATTAAAGCATAATGAAATATGATTAATCTCATAAACTGACTCTAATTCAGTTTCATTTTCTAAATATAGTGATTGACATAAACTTCTGACTGACTCGTCCGTCAAACTTCTAAAGTGTTGAGAGTAGTTGAACTCATGTGTAACAGCATGCTAGAATAAGCATAAGCCATGCTTAAGACTATCAGTTCCACGTCTCATCCATACATTCAGTTCAAAGGAATTTCAAATCATTTCTTCGAACCTAATGATAAACTTATTAGCAGTCAGTAATTTGGTCTTTGACCCTTCCATTCTATCTATCAAATAGTTCAGGCACCTATGTTTATCTCTGAATGAATGGCAAGAACGACCATAAACGAATCTTTCGTACGGATACAATAACTGTTTCTGTTTGAATATCTTCCAATAATAACGACAACTGAAGTGCAGCGGCACAGACAAAAATTAGAAAAGTTTGGAAGAAGCAATATGCTGCGTATACTTCACTCACACCAAAAATACAAGGTGGTTTCCTTACCTATTGTTTATTACTGCTAAACATTAGATCCGTAAACTATCGTGTTTGGGACGGAACTGTGTCTGAAAGATGGTCATGAATTCTTCTTATAAAGATTTTCCTTCCTTTTCACACAAATATCATTTTTTAATATTGAAGATACACACAGGTGTTTGAATTACAAAATAATATTTGTATTAAAAGAAAGGAAATTCCCATAACAATTTATAAAAAACTTTTTCAAAATGACTGTGCTTACCTTTTTTACCAATTTCAGAATCTTGAGAAAATTTGCTGGACATGAATTGCTGATGAAAAGTTTTATGACTCGTTATGACGGAGAATTCAAAATACCCAAAAATCGACAAACTATACAAATGTAATGGTGAAAGTTACAAATACTTACAAATCACAAATATACAATGTAGTTTTTAAACCGATTCTCAACGACAGATTTGCGTAAATTGACAAAATTACCTCATATAAAAACCGTATGGTAACCTTTAAAAAACCCTAAAAATGAAATTTGCATTGTTTTTTATGCAGTAAATCTTCTTTTCTTTTAACTCGTAATCAGACTTTTGAATACACTGTAAATACAAATATTGTATAATAAGAAATCAAATAGTATCGCATCGCTGTATATCACAAATAAATTCACACCGATTAGAAAAACCAATCCAGCTTTTTTTTACAGAAGTAGTAACATGTCTACAAATTGTTGAGGAGTAACACGTACCGAAGGTGTATCTTTCGATATACATGGATGTCCATGATCCTGAAGATATACGCCCATGGTTTTTACAACGGGATTTACATTTCAGTATTGTGATTATGCAGTAAAATTAAAATAAAACACATCACGTCACATATCCTATGCTCAGCAAAAAATTTCATTTCTAATCCGAAATCCCCTAGTTAAGAAAAGGAAAATTACATTTTCACAACCGTAAACAAATGTAGAAAAACTTTATTTAAAAATTAACGCCAAAAGTAATAAAAATACCTTCCAAAATATCGCTTTACAGTGGCAACAGAGATGAATTAAATCAGCATAAAATTCTCGCAGTCCACAATGTTTTTTAAGTTCGAAGAACGCATGACGCCAGGAAATCGGGTCTTTCTTAATTTTCGCAGTTTGCTCTTGCGTAAAGTGAAAACTGCATAGAGATGCCCAAAGCTGTTCTTCTTTTTTGACAATGGCATCCAAAACTTCATGTGCTTTAGCAACTTCAAGCAGCGAAACATGATCGGGAAGTTTTCTGTACGAAAAAACATGTTTAATTAACGTAAACATTTAGAAATAGCTTGAAGAAGTGCAATGTGAGAATTCAGAAAAGTATTGAAATTGTAGACCTATTCACTATTAATCTGTTGTATTTGAATGCTTGACTTAACCAAGTAATAGATAACTATAAGAAACAAGAAAATAACTTGAACAGTCCTGTTAAAAACTGGAATAACTATTGCTCCTAAATGACTGTGATTTAAAAGAATCTATACCCCAATAAAGAAAAGAAACAACAATAAACTTTTATGAGTGATCCAAATATTTCGAGTGCTAAAAATTAATCGAAGAATTGATCGATGATATTTTAGTAACTCCACCGCTTTATACAAAATTAGTGATACTATTTCTTTATACCAAGGATTTCTACTTAAAACAAAAACATACCTTAAGATGATTGACAAAATCTCTCGTGGTAAATCCATGAATGTTACTGACTCTTCATCACTATCCGCTAATGTACGTGGTCGTTGTTCGGAAATAAGTTCCAACAAATCGCCAATCATATTTAGCTGCTTCGAAACTAATTGAGGTGAACCATATAAGTGACCCTCAAGACCCGTACCAAAATCACAGACAAGAGATCGTGCTATGGATATGTGGAGGTCCCTCTCGACACCTAAATATTCAAGCAAACGTAAGGATCTTAATATTCGAATGATATTTTCATGTTTTTATTTCTAACCTTTTTCAAATTATTGCAACAGAAGATTTGTACATGATGACCTCAGATTATAAGATACTTTCTTTAAATGAAAATAAAACTAACATATAAGTACAATTGCCTTAATAATGGAAAGAAGAGCTTTTCGAGCAGTAGCACTAAGATTTTGCAACTTCTCCTGAACGAGGATTTGCACAACCTGCAAATGAACTGCATGAGATCTTTAATATTTACACACATATGTATCTTAATATTCACACATATGTATCTTTAATATTTACACATTCCATTCAACGAACAAAAAAAAAAAGTCCTTTAAACCTTCAATATTTAAAACTTACTTTACAGATATAATTGAATCTCCGGACATCGCTCACAGCTCGTGCCAAGTCCAATCGATGAAATGCCTCACTCATACTTGTACATCCAACAAACTGAATAAGGTGAATTGTTGCAAACAAATCTCAACAAGTAAACATACCAAAGGTTCTCCGTTGAATTCCAAATTATTTCTCATTTCACGATATTTTATAACTCTGCATAGTTTTGCTAAACAAACTATTCAAAAAATTCAAGTAAGCACCGCTTTTTCATAATTGTACATGTTTTTAAAATAATTTTAAAATAAAGAATATCTAAAAAATCCAATCATTAGATTGTGAATTGCTGAGAGTGCTCAGAAAGATTTTTGAACACTTCGTATGTGAAATAAAATCAGTAATTTGACTACAAAAGAAACTGGTCTTTCAAAATGTAGCATCCAGTAAGTTACAACAGAAACATTTAAAAAATTCAGTAGTGCTAACTTCCTTGGATTTTCCAGTTTTGACGAAACAGTGTGGAATCCAATCATCACCTTCTGAAACTGGAAATTTCTTTTTGATTAATTTTTCTTTTCATTAAGAAGAAAACTAACAATAGTTAACTATCAGACGCCAACATCAGATCATTTTAATTTTTATCTTGATCATTCTCTCATTAAAGTACATTTAACATATGGTAGCATTGACTTAGCTTATTCAGCAGTCATCCATTAAAATGAATAGTTCAAATCTTAGCTGAAGAAGTAAAGAATAACAAGAAGTTACCGGAATCATCAGTATCCGATCGCTGACAATTTTCATCGTTACTTGATAGCGACATCGAAGAAATATTTTTCACTAGTGAACTAAAAACTGGTGATCGCGTTGTATCAACTGCTTCTTCTACCTGCTACAATTTAAAAATTCAGCATGCATTAAGTTGTTTTTTATTAGTAAGACAATAAAAACAAGTTCGACTTCATAGAGATAAAACCTCTCAGCTTTGTGGAATTCACCTTTCCGTGAAGTTTCGCTACAGTAGTGCTTGTCGGAAAGACATCATTGTACGGAATTTTTTCTCTTCAATATATATTTGCTGAAGAATGAAAATGAAAAAGACTTCTACTTTAAGATTAGGATTCCTTCCCTAAAGAGAATTGGAGTAAAAACAAAGTTGTTGGGATGAATATTCAAAAACAAGGATCATGAACTATCCATCATCTTCTGTTTGAAATATTTTTAAAAGGATGCCATTGATATTTGGAAGTTATATCGACTAATCGATAAAAAATATCCTGTACTTATATTTCCTAAAGTTTCTCATTATCTAACTGGGTCTCGATATAACTTCAAATTTTTCGCTGATGTTTGTTAAAGTGCGATGATTTATTGATACCGCCCGGTATGCACTTAACGCTACATAACAGAGACTGACATGTTTGTCAGTAAAAGAAATTATGCAAACAGTGATTGCTTCTTTCAAATGAAAAAATCAATCATTTTAAGAGTATGGTACTTATTCGACCTAAAATAAATCATCTTTCTAGAAATTTTTTCAGTTACATTTGTAAAGTGTGATACTGGGATCGCACTATTAAGAATACAATAACTTCATAAAGTTTATTTATGAATCACTTTTTCTCATAAAAACGACGGTCCTATTCTCTTCTTTCTATCTGAAAATTTGGACCAAAGGTGAATTCATTAACAATTACCTGAATTGGTCGTAGTTTCACTTGTTCCCATCCATCGGTATTGGAGCACCATACCCAAGTTTCACCGGGTGCTCGCCAGTCCTTCCCGATAAACGGCATTTTCCGTATTTTACAAGATTAAGATGAAGAGAACAGTTGGAAAGAAGGGTACCCCCCTGAGGGTACGTAATTACAAACTTCTTTCTTTCAAACGAGTTGACCCACTCTTCCGAAACGATAATAAAATGTACTGGTCGTTTGAACACGAAATGAATGGAGACGAATCGGAATGGCTTATGATGGCACAAAACTAACCCACCTTTCCTCTCCTATCTCTTCTTTTCTCTCCAACAAGACGAATCCACCTGAAACATAATTAATTGATTGAAAAGATCTTCTCGAACTTCACATTACTGACACTTCACGTTAAACTTTCACAAGATAACGTTGTGGATGGCACGAATAAATCGGCATTTCTTTGTGGTTCACTCTTCACTATCTCGAAACACATCATCTGATTAGCAGAAATGGCAAATAGAAGAAAGTACAAACATTTATCAGTCAGCTGCACATCTCAACAAAATAATGTGGAGAATAAAGCAGATGAACCTATACTGAAAAGGATAATGTGCCAAGAAATACTGCAATTCTCCCTCACTCTTCATCTGAAACCTACTCAATATCATACGACGACATATACATACATCTGTTAATATTAAATAGTGAAAGGATATGTGTGCCTGCATGCAGCATAGCTTAATTTACACGTAATTTAATGTCATGTTGACAGGAAAGCACCACTTAAAGCTTGTACGGATGTGAGAAATCCAGTACTGTTTCAAGGTTTGATATTACTATCTACTTGTTTCACTTCTTCGGCATTATCACAAAATGAAAAGGTTTGTCAGGAAGATTTCCATCAAAAAATGTAAAACTATCAACAAAAAAAAAAAAAAAAAATATAGCCTAATTAACATAGGATACTTACTACATATAAAATTTAATGCTATTTTACACCCTAATGTCCTCTACTAATTACTCTGCTCCTCATTACAGCTTGTATTGTCAAACTGTAGAGGTGCCTTATGACAACGTCCTGAAATGACTACATTCAATGAGAATGACATTTGTTCTATTTTATTTACCTGTATTTCTCTTACATAAATTGCTTTCTAAATGTTTTCCTTCTCTGCTAAAACTTCTATTCTCTGACGGTCTTATCTTTCACAAAATTCATTCATAGATTTATTTATATGATTGAATTTTCACAGGTGATCAGTGGCCGACTCTCAAAGATACCTATCAGAAAAGGAATCTACTCACTTTTCAATCTATAAGCATGTTTAGATTTTACCAACATTTGATCACTACTTGAACACAAGCATTACTTACACTATTTAATCATATGTTATCCTTCCTATTAGACATATTTAATTCAAGTTGTTTTGTCAATAAAGTAAAGGGAATGCAATTTCATGTACACTGCATACCGCGATGAGACGATGAAGAGAAAAGAAGCAATTGACTGCGAAATATATAAAAACAGTTTGCACTGATTTGATGTGTATGAGATGATGGATCTCTGCAGTTAAAATATTACCTACCATTAGCCTTCCTTATAAAGCATCATCGTACGTCGTATAAACAATGTCAAACAGCGCCGTAGCAACAACATCAAAATCAATATATGATCTAAAATTTAGAGAGACGGAGAGAGAGAGGAAAATGAACTACTTCGTTCTATAGTGATTTCTTAACTTAGACTAGTTGTTACGATAGTATTCAGTCTTATATCGTTCCAAACAGAGAAATGAATGATGAATGTTGCAACTTTAGAATTATTAGCTAACATTTGTTTAAATATAATGTGAGTGTCATCTTCACAATTACTGTTTAATAGTTAGTATAGATGTGTACACATAACATTTCACAACCTCAGCTCCTGTCCACCCTACTCGTTTATATCAGTCTTGCTTCCCTCATAACGAAAATAACATATTGGGCTGATAGTGAGAAGGAATCAATAACTTGGAACTAACCACTGAAATGAATTACAAAGTACTCAACAACACAACGAAATTTATTGATATTCTTGTCAATTTGCTATTCTGCTAAATTTGCTAAATATTCTATGCCCAAAGTCTTCGTATAATATTAAGCATATAGTAAGACCACGCCTCCACATACAAATCTGGCGCAAAATTACTAATAAACGGAATCGAAGGTTAAATTTCAGCCTTTGCTGGTGGAAGGATCTAGTTAATCAAATCTACAACAAACTTATGCAGAATCCCCATTCTAGAATCTCGAATACTTTCCAGAATACTCTCTTTCTCCGTTTAAAAAGTAATCAGCCTTCCTATCTGATTTGTCCTTGCACTTATCGAGCAACCAACCATCCGCAGAGTTGTTATATGTGAGATATGTTGTACAGCACACACAAATTTTATGTGCTGTTGAATGCTCAAAACAGACAATCGCTTTGAAAGAAATTTCAGAATGTTTATATCAAAAGTCAGCACTTTTCCAAAGCACTTGCATAGCAGTGGTTGAGTAATTCCTTTTCTATCAATACCAAATATAAGTAAGCGGAACTAGTATAACCAAGTTTATACATACACATGTTTTTATTTTAAAGTCTTCATTGATTTCAAAACATTTCAGCGACAAAATAGATCAGCCTTAACATCCTGCCTCAACAACGATACCGTATCATCTTTTCCTTTCTACATTCCATCTCATATCAAGTCAATGTTCCACTGTAAAAAGAAATATTCCTTCTGGTTATCGTGGTACTGGTTTAAGTCGAATCTTCTTTGTTTCCTGGTCATACACAGCACACAAACCTAATTCTCTCAACAAACCATCTCGTTCTATAATTGCTGATGGTTCCTGTAATGGAAAAAACGTTAGAAATTCAAAAATTTCTGTATAAAACAACACGAAATCAAAAGTTTACATTCTATAATATAGACATACACATAACAAATAGAGAAGTTCTACCTCTGAAAGTTGAGCAAGTCGTAACTGATTTGGTGAATAGCCTAAAACCAAATGTCGCAGAGCAGAAATTGCATAAAGTCTCTGAAACCACAAATCATGACTTTTTTATCCTTATATTTTGCAAATTTCATTTCTTACAGTTTGTTGTGGGTTTTCATTTTGTTAAGAAATAAATCAAGTGTAATAAAATATGAAGTGGATGCAATAGCTCAACCCATTCCCCTAAACAAAGAACTCAGGAAAAAAATTTTTCAAAGAAAAAAAAATAAATACCCAACAATCACAAACCCCAGTCGGATTATGGTCATCGCGTATGCACATGCAATTTAACAGCAATGAGATGCTATCATTTGCTCCAAAGTATTCACGTATCATATCATTTTCGTGACATAGAATGCCAATTAATTCCAGGCACGACAATTTCATGGTTTCAATCAGCTTTACATTACCAAATGTGCTGAATTATAACATCTTTCGTAATTTTAAAGCATTTCTTATGAAAAAAAAAGGACAATCTACATATACAATGCCAACCAGTGATACCGTAGGAACTATAACAAAGATTAATTTCATACTAATGTGATTAATGTTCAGTCGAAACGATCATCACGATATTTAGTAGATTAAAAGAAGAATAACCTTAAAGCTATAGCTAAATTATAGACATAGCCTATATTAGCTGCACTTCTTGGTAACAACTTAAATCCAGGTCGATCGCTGAATTTTTCTTGGGATTTCGAACTGCATGTTTCACTTTGGTATTTGATAAAATCATAGTGCAGTATCTGAAAAACTTAAAATACTTAAGTAATTAACTTAATAAATGCGTTATTTCCTTTTTTCATGTAATCCAAAATCGCTAGACGATTTAGCCGCATGACCAACAGTGATGCTTTTATTAGGAAGAACTGAAACTCAATTTTCGTTCTTACTGAAAGCCCGCCAGAGATTTTCTTAAAACTTTCATCCTTGCCGAAATTCTGATCTTTCATTCTTTGCTTGATCCAAACTCATGCATCCTTAATCCATTAAAGTAATTACTTCAATAAAATTAAAACCACACATAAAATCAGTTTAGAGATGATTAACAAACCCCCTCAATTATATGAAGAATTAATTTCGCAGTTGTTAAATCTGTTTTAAATATTGACTGATATTCTTTCACTGAAACCAATTCCAAAATCATTTCCAGCAAAACATGAATGCGGAAGATGCTATTAAAGTTGTTCATCCCTTTGTATTCTTCCATTTTACTATCTTTTTCAAACGTGCCAAATTTCCTTAGTGCCTTCTCCAAGAATATTAATACATATCTTACATTTCCAGCAGCAAGCTAAAATAAAAGTATAAAGTATGCATAATTGAATATCAATAAGATCTGCAAATATGACCACATTATTAAAACTGCAGGGTATGAAAGACACGCCTATTGATTTCATTTTGGTTGGAAGGGTCTTCAAAATTACCGTAAAAAATGTAAAATTTTGCGTGCAAATACATAATGGATAGAATATAAAAGAAATAAGGACAAAAATAACCTTGACATTACAACCGTTCTTACCAAATTCTATCACAGTATCGATAATGTCAATAAATGTATCAGCAGAAGATGGTTCAATGATTTCACCACACACAGTGAGAAAGTTATCATTAAATTCCAAATACTTGGCAAATACTGCTAATAACCAGGATCTGCATTTATAAATCTAACAATTCTAAGATGACAAAACACAACTGTTCTGCGATGAATTTCATAACTTGTTCTAAAAATCTATCAAATTTTTAGAAACTCTATTTTCAGTCAATAAATTATACACGGAACATCCCTATAATATAATTAAACTGTGTTATACATTAAACTCCCACCAATGCGAGTCAAATCACAATGATCAACCTTTTATCATAAGCTTTTGCCAGGGCATCACAATTTTGAGATTCACTACCATTCTCTGACACCATTTCGTTGTTCTCTAATCTAAAAAATCATGTAACATACAGTAATATGCAGAAATTAAATCATGAAATTAGAATTTTGAGCTTTACCGTAAACTCCTCAGACCTTTTTCTTTAACATACATACCTTTTTATGTCACTGCAAACTTGGTTCCATAAGATACTACATTCAAATGCGAGCTGGTAGTATATCTCTGCAAAAAAGTTTATTAAATTACAACGGATTTAAAATCCTTGAAACTTAACTGCAACCACATACAATGTACTCGATAATTTTGCAACGGAATGACATAACAGAAAGCATATGTAGTTCTTCAACTAATTTCTTAGACTTTTGATTTAATGAGCCTAATGCGAAGAAATACCATAAATATTAAAAGACAGTTTTTGATTTTAAAATGATTATAATTTTAATATAGAATGACGCCTGAGTGTATGGAGTAATTGTGATAAATTATTACCGCCATTTTCAGGCTTTGAAAAATTAATCATGGCAGCAAACGTTTCACTTTGTAACCAATCCAATTTTAGTAATCTTCGGAGACAGTCTTCTGAATACTCATCAGCACATGAACGAAGACTGAATTAAATTATATTAGGATTATTCAGAAAAAAATATATTCGTTGAAGAATTTTCTTTGTTGAGCAAGCTCGATTAACGATGCATGTTTGACGTCTAATTCTAATAATTTTTACCATTTTAATAGTTGCTGATCAAATAAAACAAATGTAACTAGAATTATAAAGTTTCGCTTGAAAAAAAACTAAATCTACTGCATTTCTGAGCCAAGACCAGAGAAGCAGTCATTAAACGACTACCAATTCAGCTTTTCTAACATCAAAGAATGAGAAAAAAGTATGCATTTTACGATTGCGACACAATGTGCAAAAGGCTTCATGTTCATCCTAATTTTGCAGAATGTGATGTCAAACTGATGTCAAACTTCAAATCCTGTCTACTACGCTACCTTTTCGATTAAACAGTGTAAACCGTTACTCCGAATACCAATAAAATATATTTACTTTTCCGAACAATTTCCAGCATTTACAAGGCACTGCATCAGCAACTTGCTCCGTTTCTTTTCCTCAGCACTTATTTCGAAGTCTGCATCGTCTTTATAATTTTTTAATATAGCTTCAAATATTGACCGCATGAATGAACGTAGCTGTTTCACTTCGAAACTATCCATATATGAACCAAAAGCACTCAACACAGTACATCGGCGAAACGACTCGAACCACTCAATATCCAGCTCCTTCGCCCTCTGATCAGTGATATCCAAAAATTTCGCCTCATACATGTAACAATCTGCAAGTTATTATAATAAACCAATAATAAACTCGTTGTCGTCTACCCGAAATGCAAGATAGAAGGAATAGTTTGTCTTAAACTCATTTAAAAACAAAACCGACATAAGACATCCATATTCAGATCGCAAATGCAAGTGCAGAAGAAAACACTTTCAATTATCAAAATTCTAGCACCAATCCAAAAAATTTTTTATTTGTCAAGTTCGCAAAGATTTTAATTTACAGAAATTTCGCATAGTTTTCATGACCCATTTTTTAGTTAGAAATGTGATTTTCACGAATACATCAATTTCCAATTTTTTTAAATCTAATATCGAACCAAAGCCCAAGTCCCAATAAAATCATAAATGACGATACCATTCATGCTGCCTCTTGTTCATAATCCATATCTGAATGTAAATTAGTTACCATCAATGTTTCAAAAAAATCAAATGACAACCTGTGCGACTATACACGAAAACATGACCATTTTAAGATAAGAAGTAAAAAAAAATAACAAAAGATTATGTAACATTAGTGTCATTATTGATTGGATTAAAGTAATACTGTACGACAACCAAACATGAAAAACATTCATTTTTCAATACATTCATTTCTTTTTTCTTTTTTTTTTTTGTTCTTAAATCAAAAATTGAATAGATTATGGAAAAAAAAAAAGAAACTGAATAAGCCGGATATACTGAAAGAGCAGTTTCTACAACGCAAAATAGAATTTGTTGCTGGTTTACTAACAAGTGTAAAATGATTGAAGAAAATGACTAAGCATAACACAAACATAACACAACATTAAATAAATTGGGTTCAATACAGAGCCGAAGGAAAGTAGCAAGTGCACAATATTCAGTAAACAAATTAGTTAAAAACATATTATATGCTAAAACTTTACATGCATCAATTTTTTCACCTGACAATTTGCAGCAATTCAATTTTCAGTACCCGATACGCTTTTATAAAATTTTTGCTACAACGTTTAACAACTTCTAAAATACTCTATTGCATCCGACCAAAACTTTCTTGGAAACCGTGCTGGTTCAGGGAATTGCTCATCCTGAGCAGCCTGAAATTTAATTGTCTTCAATAGCGCATAATGAGAAATTTCTCAGTTTCTCTAATGAATTTAAATTCATCCGTTATTCTGGAAGAAACGACTGACTCCATTCTTATATTCACGGTAAATGTGCTGGCACACGTATTAGTCTCACTGAAATTGAAGTATGTTGACCTACAGCTTTGAAATTATTCAGAAATAACCTGACGAATTCGTTCAAAAATGTAGTACTTTGCTATTCGAAACCGAAAACTAACTTCGAGATATACCGCAAAAGTTTCTGCACTGAGTGATGGTTTGATTAAATCGATCGCCATGGGATTTTGATAGCATATAGCAATAAGAGTTGGTATTAGTATTGCCATTAGTTCACGATTTGAAAAATATCCCAATGGTAGAGAAGCAAGCTGCATTAATAATGAACGCTGCCAGCCAAATACGCAAAACATCTGCAAAACATAGATGGATTTCGGACGCAACTGATTCTCATTTTTATCAGGCATTCTTGCAAATCTGGAAACTTAATGTAGACTACTGATTTCATAACACTAAACAAATATGTTTCATGACGAATTTTATTCCAAACCAAGAAATCATCAAAATGTTTTGTTTCAAATGCATCCAATAAAAGAAATAAACATGCCCTCGATACTATGACTATGAATAATTTTTTAAACAAATCTCTAGGGTGCATGATACCCTTTTTGATTGAACTGCGTTCAAATTTCCAAGACTGGTTCAAATATTTGGATCAAGCAGTCTGGGAAAACTCACTTTAGCACGTTCACTGGCAGTGGCAAAATAACCAATAACTTCAATGAGAAAATGAAGAAAATTTTTAATACGCTGATCCGTAGCTTTCGATTTTGACGAATCCGTATTTGCGAAAATAACTTTCTCAGTTTGAGCCACCATTGTCATAGTAATGTGCATTAATCGTAAACAAAGCTCACTGTCCTCGAGACATTTCTGCAGAGAAGAAACAAATTCACAGAAAACAAGGAAAAATGATATTTTTTGTCATTTCTATTATGAATTATGACTAACAAGATTTAGCGAACAAAACCACTTTAAAAGCGTTCAAAATCCTTATGGCAACAAAAATCTACAAAGTTTCATCTGCAATCTAAGTAAGGAGTAATAAAGCTACTGCGCTATAAAAAGTGCAAAATATTTTAGTATCAAAAATTAACAAAATACATACGATCGCTTCATACGGTTCTTTTTTTAAAAGAAAAAACCAGAGTTGGAATAGAGATGTTGTTAGCAATTGAGTAACGTCAATTTCTTCACGATGATTTCCTATCGATATAACAGATACTCTGGCTGTTGTAGCTGATGAATTGTAGTTTGACGATATTATCGAATAAATTCGAACTGCGAACTGCTGAATTGCCGCGGGAGCCAAACTACTGCAAAATAAAATAGCAGAAATTTCTGGCAGAATTTTATTAATCGCTAGCTCATTATAAAACTTCAAAGTACTTTCAGCAAACTTACGTTATTAGTGACGATTTTTCAGACAGTATTCCTTCTGCTTCATTCCTTCTAAAACATAGTAAGTGATAAGGTCTAGTCAGAAGAAACATTTGAGTTTACTGTAGACTGAAAGAGAAACTTATGAACTTATAAACGTTGCAGTAGTTGGGAATATCATTCGTATCAACACTGCAATGGTTGCAATGATAGGGAATAACAAATTGGTTAGCTCTAGTCCATCAAGACAACTAAAGACGATACCGTCTAAAGTGCTAGAAAAATTACAAACATTTGCACATCTACAACTCTTTAAAACATTGGAAATTCAATGAACTGAAAATAAAAGAACATCTTAAACTGGTTTTGATCTTAGAACTTCAAACGGAACTTCTTTCAAAACGAATATAATCAAAAGGAAACATTTTTAACTTGCATATCTAAGGTACAGTCGACTCAGTTACAAGTTTTTTCCTTTTTTATTCAGCGGTCGTAAGTAGTGATTTTAAAGACACTACATCATATAATCATAAAATGCATTGAATGAATATATACATAAGGAATCCTTCTAAATGCAATATAAGATGGAAATTCGTAAATACTTCCACTTTTTCGAGGTAAATATTTCCATTTTTGAAAAGTTTTCTAACCAAATAAGGTCATTAGGCAAATCCAAATAGCGCGAAATACTAAAACACATTCCAAAAAAGGAGTAATAAATCAAGTTTCCGAAAAAACGTTAACCAGCAAACCTTTTTTTACATCCTAGCAGATAAAGTATTTCACCAACTTCCAAAATTATATCAGTGTAAACCATGATAGGTATCGCAACTGCGTTAGAATCAAGTTGAACTGACCAAGGTAATGCATCGATCATGCCTGTCTGTTTGATCAGGAACAAAAGAGTATCTCCATAGCCATCCAAATTAATTAAGCTACAAAATTAAAGCATTAGTTAGTGCACAAGCTGTTTTTTTCGGGTATAAAAACTTAAAAACAATGAAGTAAACTGATGTTTGGTGTAGCTGAAGAAACTCTAAATTTGGCTACGTAACATAATGACCCTGTTTATTGTTTATTGTTATAATAAACAGGGTCATTATGTTCAGGTTGTTCAAATGATGTGGAAATCTACGTATATTGAAATATTTTTATGGAATGAAAATTACACAAACATAGAAATCAAAAAGTTGAAAGCTATAAAAACAAAACCTCAGTAGCTGTTTTACGTATATATCATCATCTGTGATGCCAAATACGACTGCACTACTTGAAATTTCCCCTTTGACTTTTGTATACAAAGAGTTCATGACACGTAAAAACGTCGAACACAACATAACACATTCAATTAAAAGTCGGTAAGATCCATCGTTAGTCGGCATGTGCGACTCTTTTAGAAATCGCCAAACCATTGACTGCAAAACAAAAATTATGTAAGTACTGAATACGAAATCTTATAATTAACTCAAAAACATTAGATAGTGACTCTGGGGTCGAGCTTAAAAATTACAAGAGCATTACTTTGATGATATATAGCATCAATGCAATGGTTGAAAGCAAATTTCTAATGCATATAAAGCATAATTATAGCCACCAATACGATTAAGAAAAACAATAATTTATAAACAACCTACTTTAGACTTGATGCAATATGCATCTAACAGTGCAAAGACGCGGTTGGAGAAAAAGAACTTTGAAGCAATAAATTTATCGATGGTAACAAGCTCTCCAAAGGTGGACAAAGCTTTACAATATGTTCTGTAAGTTACAAACACAATAAAAACAATAACGACACGAATCTACAGGACTTTCAACCTATGAAACACAACAATGCTGTAAAACTATTCCGAAATTCAGCAAAAAGAAAAATGACAAGCTACAACATCATGCATCCTCTCAAAAAGTAATGCAGTGAACGAATAAGCTAATAGAGATTTAGGAAAAAAACATTTACTCACTCCATTAAAACACTGTCTCTCTGAATCAATACATTACGCACTTCATTTAACGATAGTAAAAGCAAAACTTTGAGTCAAATGATTGTAAATTACAACCTGGAAGGTATAATTGTGTCACCATTAGTTGCACAAGATATCAATGCCGTCAAAATATCTATAAAATCATTCTGAACTACTGTTTTCAAAAGCATTTCACGTTTTTGCAGCTGAAATTAGAGAAGTCAGAATATAAAAAAGTTAAAATTTAATTTAGTTAGATCAAACCAAGAAAAACTTAATTTCTTTTTTGAGCCCAGAAAAAAATTAAGAAACATACGGTATCGGATGCTCGCAATGCTCGTAGAATTTCGGACAATGACCTCTCAAGGATATGTAAATCAGTGCTTGGATAAACTTTATTTTGAAATGACTCCTTCACCAATCCACTGCAGCGATCTTTAATTGCATCCTCCCCCAAAGTTGCTTTTAACACTTTTGCGATATCCCGAAGAGGCCGATCAATACTATAACAATTAAAATTCTATTTTTTACCGGAAATATATACAGTTTGGTTTAATTAACTTATTAGAAACTGTAATAAAAACCTCATTTAATTAGAATACCTCGTCTTTCCGGAAGAAGTTCGGTAAGCATCAGATAAATCACTCTGTCCAATTATCTTATCGTACTCTTTAGCCCTGCAAATTAGATGTAAAAATATCACTCGAAGTTTAGCTTGAAAAAAAAAAAAAAATTGAGCTAATTATAAATTATCTTTTTACCTACCTTGTCTGGATCTTCTGTCGAAGACGGGTCCGACGTTTCTTAGTACTTGTACTTTGTTTCGAAAGTTCACTTTCGCCTCCTAAAGAAAGCTGTCTGGTTGCCTCGACACAAACATCTTCAGCATTCTGATCAATTTGTGTTTTCTAGAAAATGGCCAAATAACTGAAGCTCAATTAGCTTCAGATTTACAAGTCTTGAGTTCGAAAATTTTTTTTCTTTTTTTTTTTTTAAGAGGCAGAACTAATCTTCTACAGATCACACTATAAAGAAATTTAAGAAATTTGCATACCAAACAATCATAATTTAGCTCTTTGATGTTAATGTTTGCCTTCGATAAGTGAGAAGCGCTTAGAAAATGTGATATGATGAAAAAGTCACTGTCAAGCTGAAATACTGAGTATAAGCGAGTTCAGCTTATTCACTATAGTGTAAATTTAAATAGAGAAATCAATAAGGACTGAAATACCACAAACTTTAGAAACAAACTAAGAAAGAATTTCTATTTGGAAATCTATGGAGAGCAGGAAGACATCGCAACTTTTATCCTTCTGAACATTGGAAGGACACAGCTAAATTCATTTCATATATCTGCCTCTGTTCAAATTTTCACGAAATATCAAAGTATTCTTCGAAAAACAGAAAAAACTAACCGGAGTGTCGCAAAGTTTGCATTTTTTCGAGCTCCCACCACCACTCATACCTTCGAGCATTGAAACATACAGAGTTTCTGAAGGTATCTGACTAAAGTCAGCCAAAGAAGCTACTGACTCCGTCGGTCTTGGACTACTTAGTTCAACAGCACGATGTTTCACTTGTGTCAGAGTATTTTCATAACGACGACGTGTTTCTTCCTGCTGAAAAATGAAGATCACAAATTTTTCTGTTATCCATTTCGTCCAATTTCGTCTCTATTCTGTAGTTAAATTATATATACATATGAGAATGTATTAAAATCCAGGATATGTCAATTATTTAAAATAAAAAAGTATTAATCTTTTTTTGGATCTTCTTCATTAACTTTGCACTTTCAACAGCATCCGTTGCTTTCTTTTCCGCGACCCGCTCATTCAACTGCCTAAAGCAATGATAAGAATTCCTGGTGTTATGAATTAGTGATTTAAAAAATATAAGTAAAAATCCAATCTAGGCAATATTTAAACATTTCTGTGTAAGAAACATTACTTATTCCTTTCTCGAACGGCTTCACTTCTTTCCCTTTCCTGTTCGTTACGTTGCGCTTCGAACAGCTCATGCTTCTCGAATTTTTCGCGCATTTTTTGTCTTCTTTGCTAAACGATTGAAATTACGCATGCATTCGATGATTCTCTATTCTGCATTCAATCTTTTTATCGCCTAAAGTGAATTTTAAAAAATTGATTACATTTGTAAAAATATTACATTTGCTGCGATTTTTCGCCGTTCTTCTGCTGCAGCTTCTTTAGCAGCTTTTTCCTCATTTTTTCTAGCGCGTTCGTTTGCAATCGTCTGTACTCTCTGTTCCCATTCCTGGCTACGAATCATAACATCATGTCGCATATTATCTGCTCCTATTGTATTGATGAACTGCACCTCCATAACCTACAAAACGCATTTCATCTTTTCATATTTTAATATCATTTAAAATTAAAGAATCTCTTTAAACATTTGGAAAATGAACATAACCAAATCCAAAAAGTAGAAGGAAAGATATAATTTCATAAAAGCCTTAAGTTTTCCAATCCCTTCCTTAGAACTTTTGCTTACAGTTAAAAATTCTGATATCACAACTTAGAAGAAATAATTATAATCTTTTAAGTTATAATCTTTAAAAAAGCAAGTAACATTCAATCATCTGAATTGTAAAAATATACGAAATTCTAAACTTTAAAACATTATCCAACCTTGACGTCATCGTCGCGTGCTTTTTTCACTTTTTCTTCAATATTTTTCTGACGATTTTCTTCAGCCTTCGCCATTCGCATCTGTAAGTGCTCAAGTTTTCGTTCACTCAGTTCAGCTCTTTTTCGTCTCACTTCTTCCACCTATAATTTTAATGGAGGAAAATTTCATTTGTAACTTTATAACAAATCACATCAACTTTATCAAAATATATACCAACCTTATTGGACAGTTCTTTCAGCCGCTCAGCTTTCTGCTTTTGCAACATTTGGCGTAATTCTTCAGCTCTTCTTTGCCGTTCCTTGTGTCGTTCTGTCGTATTTTCAGTGTTTCTTGAAACAAAACTATAAGGATCCAGAAGATAGAACTGAAAATTAAAAAGAAATATATTTCAGAAATTAATGATTTCAAAAACATTAATTCACCTTTTCCTGCTTGGTGAAGATAATTTTTCATGCCTTTCAACAAATTCTCCCGGCTTACGATAACGAGTGATTTCTTGTTCCACGATTTCGCCCCAACTTATAGATGCATATTCCTCCATTTCCCCTATGAATTGAGCAAATATCAGAGAAAAAAAAAAGAACTAACAAACGGAAAATAAGAAAAAATGCAAGAAGAAACTGAAGCAAATAAAAACAAACGTTTCCAGTTGTTGACGACATCTTGCCATGTCATTGGAGTTTTTTTGTTATTGCATGATTCTGCCTCAGCAGTTTCCTCACATTTATGCTAAAAACGTTGTCTACACAAAAATGAAATTTTTTTTTTCTACGCTCAGTATCTTTTTAGAAGTTTTACAGATCATAGCAAGGGAGCTTTGTTTTATTCATAATTTCAAAGCAATCCACAAGGACTCATTCGAGGAAGCAATTCAGCAAAGCGAGTTACACTACAACTATAATGTAGCAAGACTTAAACTGATTATAATATATTCAAAATAATTAGATAAATTCAAAATAAGATAATTAAATAAAACTACCTCGGTTTCCAATTGTTCCAATGCTGCAGCTTCAGCAGCTACTTGTCGTTCCAGCTCTTCATCAATAGAAATACTTTCTTCCTATACTAACTTTTAGTCCACTGGATTGAACAGTTTGCAAAATGGAACAAATTGTTTTGCGTAAAAAAGTGAAAATTGCCAATAAGAACACAATTCAATATTTCTTCGATTTCATACCTCTTCGATTTCTTTTTTCAAACTTTCTTCTTCTTGCACCAATGATTCCTCTTCTTCTGTCATCGCTCTCCATGCATCGTCTATGTCTATACCATCAGGCAACACCAATTCCGATAATGGTGGTTCAGATCTTGAATGAAACTCTTATTCGGATATTACGAACTTTTTAATGTAATATGAAGCTTTAGTTTTCTTCAGCTACCTGCTGTGAGTAAAATAATCTGAACTGGAGTGAATGACAATCGATCCCTCCAAACCAGCTGGGATATTTTCGCGATCTTCATCATTTTTCGATGGTAATTCCTAAAAAATCACAAAAATAGCTGATTTATTTAATATGACAGGACTGATCATGAATGTTATTAACAAAACAGCAACGAAAAAGAAATGCACCACCTACCTCTATGCGTTCAAAATTTGCCGGTGTACTTCGTTCCTTCACTATTCCAGCAGCACCATTCTTTTTCAATACTTTCTGAAATGATGATTTAAAAAAAAGAAGACATCCACAATAATGGTTTAATATTAAAAAAAGTAAAGCGTAAAACTACTAAGCCGGAAATAAAACAGAAATACCTTCCGATTTTTAAATGCTGTAGCACTACGTGAAACAGCATCTGGGTCAGCGAAATTAATTGCCGAAAGAGCAGGAACGGAACCAGTTTTGCGAGCGCTCTGCAAATCTTGGCGACGTCTACGCTCCATCTTTTCTGCTAAATCCAACTGATGTTTTTTCCACAATAACTGCCGACAATATGCTACTTTTGCCATAGACGCCTGAAACAATATATTCCTTATTATTCATTTAGAGAGCAAAAACTATGACTTTCAGCTTTTTACTTCGCTATTAGTAATAAATTTTGAACGAATTTCACGTATATCGTAGGACAGAAGAAATTATGACATTGACTGATGGAACTCTGACCGAAGAATTTGGTAAAAATTTATAACTAACTTTTGTTTGCGGTAGATCCATAGCACATCTAGGATACATTAAGCCTCGTCCACCTGATTCCGAAAGAAATGGCGTACGAGTCGACAAATTCGGAGGTCGAAGGATGCCAGTTGACAAACGCTCATAAACATTCATAAATGTTCTTTTCGAAGACGCCTGCGCGTTATGCATAATAATATCAACAGTTAAATTATAATTTTTATCAGCTGAAAATAACAGAATTTCCATTCAAATTTGAATCCGAACTTCAAATTCGAAATAAGTACCGTCATTGCAATACTGTGTTCCGTTTCTTTATTGTTAGTGGGGATAGAATCGGGTTCAATACTCTTCCGTCGCCTATGTCGTGTTGTCACTAAGCGCCATCCATCATCACCTTGATCTTCCTCTAGAAAAAAACGACTGCTGTAATGGAAGTAAGTTTCGATTTCTATGAATCATTTGCAAATTTAAAAATAAACTTTCATCATTGAAAAGTAGGTGCAATAAGAATGCAACGGCATGTATTACGACTTCGTGAATTTATTAGCAATGCACTGAAATAAAATGAAATAAACAAAAAAATAAAACTTACTTAATTCAACCCCTTTCTTATGATTGTCTTTATCTAATAGTTCGTTGTGCTGTAGTGTTGTTGTAGTTGAAGATAACACAGATTGCGCCGGTTGTGGTAAATTGGCTTTCAGTTTCTTTTCCGCACTCTGTACAGCCTCATGCGCAACAACTGGTGATCTGCAACGGACTCATTATATAACATATATACAAGAAATATTATTAAAAAATAGAGCTATATGTACATAACAATTCGTCGAGCTTCAAGAAATAAGTGATATAAATTTTATGAAAAGAAGAATACGAGATGGTGGAAAATGAAGATTTTTATAGATCTTCTCAAAGTATGAAATCCGAGAACATTAATGCACTACACAGCTACACTTTTTTTACTATACAGCATTACATACAACAGCACGTCATCAGTTGCTAAATGCCTTGACAAAAAAATGTTTAGTTTCATATTGCAAAATTAAACGATATCAAATGCGACTAAGTAACAGTATCATGACAAAAAAGACGCTTAAAATATCAATAACAAAATCAGCTATTTATAACATAATAAATATTAGAGATTTCAAGTTTTCAAAAAATTTCTGTTAGGTAGCAAAATTCAAAAAGAAAAAAAGGATGATGTACGAAAACAGAACGACATCAGTACCTTCACAAAAAAACGCGCATAATTATCCAAATATGAGAGAAGATGCTCAAAAGCAGTGTTTTACACTAACCTCTGCTGAAAAACACTCATGAAGATCTTTATGATTTTCATAGTATTAATATCCCATACAAAAGGAGTGGATTATTTTCAGCAAAGTAATAATCTCAATGAACTCACGGAATGTTAAGGTCGTATCACCGTTGTAAACGGACCCAAACTAGGGATAAACTTATTGCTTTAAAATATTCCTATAATATTAAAAAAAATTTTTTTTTCTTTATGTAATATTTTAAATTCCAAGCAATGAAATTACCAACCGAAGAAATCGTGGTAGGAACCAATCCAAAGTTATGCGTGAACTGTATCACACTCTAAGTAAGTTATGGGAATTTTGTTGTTCAAGATAACAGAAGAATTGCACGGAAAAAAAACCGATGAGTGGGATTCCCAAGAAAACAAACACGTTATTTTCAACCGCAAAAAAAGAAAGAGATAGCAAGGCAAAGACTGGGTCTGGACAATGATAATTACTATTGTATAAGAAATTGCTCTATGGTAAAGCATTTAAAGATGCTTAACTTCAAAGAGACAAACTTGTATTGAAATATTTCCCGATACTAAAGTAACATGTAACACGACAAAATCAATATTACCAAACAAAAAGCTTTTACTAAATTATTCGAATATCAAAAGAATGCAAAGACTTCAATATCAACTTCTTGCAAGCACCGTAACTAAGCCTACCAAAATGCAGTTCAATTTCCAATCTCAAAAGCAGGTATAAATTTCAATTCATAATTGCGTAGATGACGAAACATATGCTACTTCTACTTTATTTCTAAGTTGAACCTGCACTTATTCAAATAACTTGAATAAAAGCAGAGATTTAATTTCAAAACTTCTTAAGATTGTAAAAGCAAATTTACCAAACATTTAAGCTCATACTTTTTAGTTTGCACCCAAGTTTCTCATACGCCAAGATGTTACAGAAAGCCTTAATAACAAAAACTGTTCGCAAAATGTGATATACATAAAGCAATTTTTTGCATAATAAAAGTTCATTGAACAAGAATAATAAATATAACGAATACTTACGAGTGAAAAGATACCTATCCAACCACTTTCCGTTACTGGTGTATAATCGAAATCATATTACAAAATGAAACATGTTTTGAAGGTTTCAAACATGAACTAACTTCGGAATATTGGAGTAAAATGACGTCCAAAAGTTTCAAGAATTCGAAAAAAGATCACCAGCGGAGAATTAAAAAGAAAAAAGAAGTTCGTTATGATGATGTAAAAGACATAGTGATTGGTGTTAGACAACGAAAAGAGAACATAACACTCCAATTTCATATGAAACTTTTTTCAATTAAGATTTTTTCAGAGCTTACTTTCTTTCATAATTTACTTTACTTTTCCATCCCTGCTCTTTGCTAGCGTAATGAAGTTGTAAGGTATGATATCGCTACCTACCCAAATAGATCATTAGCTATTGGGAGAAATTCCATTCTTTGTTTTAACCTACCACACAAGCACAGATCAGAGAATATTGTATATATGGCTTGCACTTCTGATTTGAAACATATGTTGCGAATGTGAACAAAATCCTATAACTATAAACTTTTTCAGAGTAGAAGGTTATATAATTTTCAGCCAAAGAAAATCAAAGACTTACAGTTTAAGTATATTTATAAGGGTACCAGCACCCTTTTTATCTGGTCCTCCAACAATTGTCTTTCCGGGAGGTGATATTGCTTTTCGAATTTCCCAAGCGACTGCATGTCGTCTATATGACAAATAAAGAAATTAGAAGATTGAATAGTTATAAATTAATTTATAAAAATCAAATGGATTTCAAAAACAACATTGTTCGTACAAACCATACTTGTTGGTAGATTATTCAATGTAAAAAGTATTGGTGTACTAGAAATATAAGTTGGAAAAAGTACATACTTGCTTTTTTCATCCCAACCAACTTCCAGCTGAATTGTTTTGATGAGTGATTCAAAATCGCGAACAGAATTTGAAAGATACATCAACGCTTCCTAAGCAGAAAAAATGTAAAAAACCCAACAGTTTATTATTCGGGTTGTCCTCAAATAATATACAGTCCCTCTCAAATTCCACAGAAAGTTTGCAGAGTGCAGTTAAGGCTCCGACTGTGTATGACTCATTTTTCACTAAGTTTATCATTTATTGGAAATCTCTAAATCGCAATTAACAACTATATATTAATAAATTTGATTGACAGAAAATTAGAAACTTTGCATCCATTAACGGTTTGTTCCTTGTGACATATTTCATAGATGCAGTCAATTGTTCGGTTAAGTGTTTCAATATAATACGTCCATTGTTTGGCTTTTTCTCGACTTCTGCTGGCTTTTTTTTCAGACAATGACGAAGGTTCCTCATAAACTGCATTCGAGATCTGTTCAGGAGCTAAACACGATTTGTCCGTAGACATCTTAGTATGTTCAACAGACTTATCAAACTTCACCTGAAAACTTAACGTATCAATACTAACTGTAAACAAGCCATTACACTCAATGATTCAAATTTGATCAAAGGAAGAAATGACATATTATGTTTCAGATCCCTTAACAATTTTGATAACTTCCAGAAGTTTAAGTATTGAAATTGGATGCCTTAGTATCTACTCGCTGGCACTATTCTCTAAACATCAGGTTTACGGGCATACGAACTGCTGTGCATCTCTTCATAAGTCTCCTTTCATCATGCATACATTACGGAGGAATGCAAAGTGACCGGATTAAGGAATCAACTTCGTTTTATTGTGTGAGAGAAAAAACAGTGTACCCTCACAGTATATTCAAGAACTGAACCTATGCAATTTCCCTTAAATGTCAGAAGAAACCAAATCCAAATCTTTCTCCCCCTCTCCAATATATGACTTAATAACCCACCTCTTTACCACTACACTAAAGCAAACGTGAAACGCGACTCGACCAGCAATTCAGCTGGTCACTTTAGCACACTATGGGACTCGAAGCCATCAGAAATCGATGTGATTAGCATTCCTATATTGCAGGGCTTCTCAGATACATTTTTATCTCAACATTGTTGAATTTTACTATTTTGCCTCTCTATAAATATGTACGAAAAGTTCTACAACAGCCAGTGCTATTCACTTTCATATATTTCAGTAATATTGGATGATAATTCGTCACTGTTCCGAACTTTCAGTCAAATTAGTCACTTCTAGCAAGTTAAGGCGTAAAACGGGAACATTTCGGAAGAGGGAAGTTAATGCAAATTGCATCTGCAATGCAACGCCTAGTAAAAGCTGACTGACTATTATCGGGAAAGTTTACACACATTGTATTCATAACATCACAAACTTTTCGCATATAAGAAAGTGAGACGATATAAAACAAAAACTTAAAAAGGTCTTAAACATATTACCAAAAAAGAGACGAATGTAAAGCATAATGTTATAACAATACTTTGTTACTTATTTTATACATCCGATCTTTAACTGATTAGTTCGCTCAAAGCAAAGAGCAACAATTTTATAAATTATTGCAGTTCAATTCTCCAATTTGAAAACATTAGTCTGTAACTGCATACAGTAATAAATTAGTAAGACAAACAACTTAAACAACAGCTGCCTTTGAAATCGTGAAAAACATAAAGATGTCTGTCAAAACCATTTAAAAAAAACATTAAAAAGATACAAACAAACATAAAATGCACAAAGATCACATTCTCACAAGCTATCAACAACTAAAATTTCAGGATTAATTTTTTTCGAAGACTAATGTAATTAAAAGATCTATTTAACCCAAAAAAAAAAAAAAAACCAAAAATATACGTCTGGTTAACGAAAAAAGAGAATCACTTACAATTTCACTAGAATGACTTATCTGTATTTTTCGTAATATCTGAATGTATACGATCAACGGCAAGAGCACGACACAAAAAGGATAACATAGAAGCATCATGAAATTCGCCTGCCTCGACAGATCGTACACCGTGACGTTCCGATGGAAAAATCTGCAATGATAGAAAAACAAGGGAAACAAATTTTTAGTGGGAAAAACATGGTAATATAAAATTAGTGAACTAAAGTTTCAAATTTCCTCAAAATGTTCATGCTTTAATCACCAACTGCGTGAAACTTGTAACTGTAGTGCTGTTTTGTATTTAGCGTTTTCTTCAAATAAAAAATAAATAAACAAACTATTTAATAAAGCAAATATAATCCTATTGCCTATTTTCGCAGTAGTTTCTACGCGATTGACGACTTTCCATTAAAACACTTTTAAAAAATACCTGCAAGCGATGTGGCTTGCCAGCTGCTATTAAGGCCTCAATTAGACGCTCGGTATGAGAAAAGTGTACATTTTCATCGATTAAACCATGAACAATCAGCAAACGATCAACTCTAAAATAAAAATTTTCATTCACCATGTCGAGATTTAAAACGTGAACAGAAGTGATAAATAAAGATTATCAGCAATTGTAACGCTTACACTAACGTAGTGCAAACAAACAGGAAACACTTACTCATTCGGTAATTGGTTAACATAACTTAGTACTGAAGAATCTTTATAAATAGGATCAGATGGCAAGCCCAAGTAACGTTCTGTATAGGCAGTATCATAAAGCCTCCAACATGTAACTGCACCGCCAGCGATCGCTGCCCTGTATACATTCGGATTTTTAGCGAGGCAGAGCAGTGCCAAATAACCGCCGTAAGACCAACCCATTATCGCTACTCGAGTGAGGTCTAGTAAACCACCAGTTCGTTTCGCTACTTCTCTAAGACCTTCTACTTGATCTTCAATTTCCACAGTTCCCTAAACAAAAATAAGTCAGAAAAGAATGAATCCTTAAAAAAAAAGTGAGTTTCAAAGGAAAACTTCATTTCAACTATGAACTCTTCAAGCATTACACAAATTACAGCGTAAAAGATGAAGCTTGAGTTTCATATTATGAATCTTTACTAATCTCTTTTCACTCACCAGCTTATTTTTTAGAGCAGCCTCAAATGAAATACCACGATTCGATGAACCTCGTCCATCAACCATAAGCACTGCATAACCAAGACTAGCAAATTTTCGAAATCCAACCCATCTAAAAATTAACGACATTATAAATTCAATAAAAAGCAATTTGAAAACAAAAATAGAGAGATTAGATTCCTATCAAGTAATAAACCACTAATCTCGCAACCTTGTTTTGAAACAAAGCATTAGCATATTGCTTGAATACTACGAGAAGCTTCGGAAAGAGTTTGAAGTATAAACATTTCTTTATAATTTCGCCCTTTAGGTTTTAGTGTTTTATTATGAGCTTAAGTTTTAAGATGGCAACAAAAGAGAAACGAAACTGACGTGGACCAAGCATTACGAACAAGTTGCACCCCGGGTCCACCGTAAACAAGTTGAATAACCGGATATTGAAGTCCTCTAATTGCTCCAAATGGCTTCAGTAATAGCGCATAGTGTTTTCGTTTAGAATTTTCTGACTGGTATTCGATTAATTCAGGGTAATCCTTGACTGCAACTTTCGGCACACATATATTTTCTAAAATACTTTTTTTAGCAAGAATTTTTATATAAAAATTGTGAATTTAAATTCTTAAAACTAAGAAAATGCCTTGACTTATAAGTTCTTATACATTTAAATAAATAATTGCAATAGTCAAAAAATAAATAAATAAACTGTCAAAGACGAACCGGCAAAAAATAAACAGTCATAAAAGTGGAAAACAAACCAATCCTTTGGCTTAATTCATTAGCAAGACTTTGCTGAGGCAAATAAATAAAATGTTGTAATGTTGCTGTTGGCAACCGATCACCATTTAAGTGATGCAATCGATAGAATACACATCGTGGTGGCATTTGCAGTGAGCTTTCCCAACAAACAAATCCTATTTCCGGATTCAACTGCAATTCACATTCCATCCGCTCGTATCTGAATGGAATTTGAAATGCAATCTCTCAATTTACAAAACAATTTTCAGCCTACAGGCATGAAAATGGCTTTGAAGCTAGACAATTAGATATCACTAGATAATTTAGATAATATCATCTATTCAAAGGAAAGGGTTTAGAAACAGCTATTTTCACACAGCATTGTGAGAGTACGAAATCAGAAACATGCCTATATGAAAGGCCGATACCACTTAAAATCTTCGAGTCTGTCGATGAATCGCTGTAACACACTACACATCTGCAATTACAATATAACTACTAAAACCTTATTTTGAGAACTGTCAAAACATCATACATACTATGATGACTTAGAAATCTTAGTTATCACTTGTACAAGTTTCATTTGAAACATACAAATTGGAGTCAGACGGATGGTGTTTGTTGGCGACAAAGTAAACATGCTTTCTCTTTTCATCAACAAATAAACCGGGTTCTTTTAGAACCGACCAGTCTCCGGCAGTTACTGGTCGAGATGAGCATGTAGCTGTTACATGAGCTAGAATATGCATCAAAACATTTAAAAACACAAAGTATTTAGTAGATAAATTTTCGTTGATAAAATATCGGTTAAAAAAATAATCCTACCCTCATCAAGTTTAGCAGTATAGTGAAATAAATGAGTATAATCATCACGATCACTTGCATGAATAAACTGCAAAATTCCTCCAACTGGAGTTAGAAATCGAGTTAAATTATCCACCTCAAACAATGATACTGACATCAAATGAATAATCAAAATGATCAAATGAAAAATAAAGTAACAATATTTTTATTATCTTCAGAGTATTATACAAATTTATAATAAGTGCTAAGTAATTCCAAAAACTTTACTTACATTGAACCAAATTTCTGACTGTTCTTGCAATAAAGTCACTACTTGCGCACTACTTTGATTATCTCGTGATCCAAACAGATTCAGTGGTATCAAAACTAATGCATACCGATCTTGCAGTCGACTGAGCAGCAAAGCCCAAATTCTTAAAATAATTAAAAATGATTATTACAGAAAGTCTTATGCGCAATTCTGGCAAACAATCTGTTAAAAAACGTCTCTATATGAAAAAAAAAAAAAAAAAAATGAATTCAAAACACCGTGTGGAATGGTTCCAATATGTGGAAAAAAAAATATGCGAAGATAACCAAAAACATACGCGCTTCCATCAGATAACCAACCAACTCGTGCTAGGTACTCATACCAAGGATAAACTGTTTTAAGTTCTACAGCCAGTTTTTCATCAGTGATCTAAAAAAAAATGGGGTATTAGGTAACGAAATGTTAAGAAACTCATTGGAATTTAATGGTTTCATAAAGGAAAAGATTAAATCCCCTAACCAGTCTCAATAAAAAATGTAAATGAATAAACAATAAATTACTTTGTTTCCATCGATAACAATTAACCGCAATGTAGAAACAGCGTTAGCAGTCCCAGCAACGGGATACTTCATTGGTCGTGCAGGCGAGCAGCCTGGTATAGTAAATTGCAAACTAGTAACAGCTGTTTCG